CTTTAATTGGTTATAAACTGAGGCAAATGCACAGTTCATGTTGAAGTTACTGGTTTGAGCCTGAAGTGCTGTTCTGCTGTGTGCGATGATGGTAGCTGGTGAGGGCAGCCAGTTGGTGATTAACAGGGACCTCAGTGGAGTGGGAATAACAGATAATACAAACCTTGCCTTTAAATGCACTTACTTATAATCAGTCACTATGGAACAGCCAGGAAAAAAAACCCTAGACTTTCAACAAAGCACAGTCTGTCTGATTCTTAGAAATACAAATGGGAGCTTGGAAATGCATTTCCTAGGGCTGTGCAGAGGAGGGCGAATGGCAGGTAGGCAGCAGCTGGAGTACACCAGAAACCACAAAACTCCTGACTTCTGCTGGAAAGCATCTGATCTGGCTGCCCCATCACCACAAGAATTGCCCAACGTGGTTTGCCTCCCAAAGGGCCAAGGCTAAATGGCTGAAGTAATACAATTTTTCTCTTGCTGATGAAAGTTTAGCTACAGAGATAGCTAAAGAACGGGTAGGGGGAACCCACTGCTAATACATGGATCGAAACAATTCTCTTTCCTTTCTGCATTGATAAGCAGCTTTATCATCTGGGGTGGGAGGAGTGTCAGACATGGGTTGTTAGTTGTAAAAGAGACAGCAACAGAGATACCGAGCCCATGAGTGTCATGCACAGTGCTGGAGATGAGCAGGATGCGCAAAGACCTTGCTGCACCCCCGTAGACCAAAATCGATAGGGTCCCCTGCCTGCATCCCCTAGTGTCAGCTCAGTCCAGCCTACCTGGTACTGCCAGGTGCTGCCTTGGGCTGCAGCATCACTGTGGCAGTAATGGGGTAGGGACAGGGGGTGGTTGCTGTCTGGGGAAGGCAGGAGAGCCCCAGAAGTGGTGGCCAGCACTCTCCTGAGCCACAGGCAGTGTAAGGTGGAGGCAGGGAGCTGCCAAACCCTCACCTCCAGCTGGTAGTGATTCACTCTGGTCTTCTGCCCCACCTCAGTCCCACTCTTCACCTTGGTCATTAATTCAGCATCTCCTGCCTCTGACCATCATCCCTTCTGCTGTCCTATCATTTACCACACTGCCAACCTTTCCTTCTTTTTGCTGCACTTTTTTCTTTGCCAGTGCCCCCCACCCCCGTGCACTGAGACCCACATCAGCATCCCTTGTTCCTGCCTCCCCCCTCCCTTCCCTGCCCCTCAGACTCCTTATATCAACTCCTGCAAGGCCACAGTGACCTCCCTACATCATTTACCCAGTTTCTTATGCCCCACAGGGTGCAGGGGGAACTGTGGCCCACCCCACCACTCACCCTGCCCCTCCACAGTTGCTGGCCCAACAGGGAGGATGCAGCACTGCAGGTTGTCTTCCACTGGTACTTCCACATGCCCTGCAGCTGCAGGGACCCTGCTTTTACCACTGTACCCTAAATGTGTTGATCCTTGTGTTGTGTTAGATGTTCTCTGCAGGAGGCAACAGCCACGGCTGTATTAAAAGGATATGCACTAGAAACACAAGCTAGAAGCTGCACAGTTCCCCTTTATAGTTCCCCTTTTCCATTCTTTTTTCACCCACAAGTAACTTTGAACACTACATTGTGCACGTAAATATCTGCACCCAAGTCTTTGTGCACATAGGCCTGTCTCAAGATCCTTTGTGCAACAAAGCAGAGTGCAGCACGTTTGTATTCACTGTGCTCTGCAAGTAGGAGGCAGCAGCGCACTTGCAGGGAGACTATAAGACTGGCTGCAAAGACTGCAGGGCTGCCAAGGAGGGCTGTGTCACTCCGTGCATCAGTGCAGGACACAGCACAGCAGAGGCGAGTTTCCAGCAGTGCTAGGCACACATATTTAGTTCCTTTTCCTTAGTAGCTAAAAGCATGAAACAGCCTCAAAACAGCAAGGCGACCCATTTATTTGGCAAAGCAGGCAGATCCAGAAGTGAAGGTCAGCTATGTCAGGGAAGAGGAAAGAAAGATTAAGTGACTAAACTGGAAAAGTCTTCACATACCAAATATATCCAACTGCTTCCCCATTTCAGGTCTTCTGAAAGCCCCAGGAGGCAGCAGAGCATCTCTGCCTCCTGGGACTTCTGGCTGGTAACAGAGAATTGCCTTTACTTCTTCCCAACAGACATTTGTCTCAAAACTGCAAAATGTAAACACGTAGATGTTTGGCTTCTGGACCAAGTTACAATATCCACAAGCATCACTCCACACTGACAAGGATGGTCTTACAAACCTTTCCAGAGACAAGGGCAGAGGAAGGGGGAAAGAAAAACCAAACCAAAACCAAAAAAAAACCCAAACCCAAAAAACAGAACACACAACACCCACAACCACCAAAACCCCAAAACGCAACAAATCCCTACCCCCTAAAACATGCCAGGAAATTGAGGAATGCAGTAAATAACAACCACAACTAAAACTGGAGGTGGATGGAAGTTAAAATGCATTTTTGTTGTTTATCACACCACTTTGTGTAAGTGTCTTTCTTTAGGATTGACCCACACAGAAAAAGATAACAGACCTCTGACAGAGACAACAAGTTACAAATAGAACACTGCAGTTCTGAGCTTTCCATGGATAGGCTGGTGGGACTTGTTCCCCAACACCTTCAAACACATCTGTGTATGCCTTCAACTGCTGTAAAATATTGTCAACAAATATATGCCCTTCTGTCTGCCCCCTCCCCCGAAAAGGCTCTTTGGCAGTCCTTACGAGCTGAAGACTGAAGCCAGAATGAAAGCTGGGACAGTCTCCGCTAACAGGACAGTAAAAGATGATGCAGCCTCTGGTGCACTGTCAGTGATACAGGGGAAGCCAGAGCAGCACATAGGCACAACATCTGGCCTATCACATGCACCTCGCAGGCAGGCTGGGACCTCTCCCATCCCAGCAACAAACCTGCACACAAAGGAGCATGTATTCAGCATCAAACCTCTGTGAGGACTCCCCACAGCTCCACCAAGAGTTTATGAACAAACGCTGGTGTCTGATACAGGTTTCACTGCACTCCAAGAATTTTTCACCTTCCTATTAGCCACTCTGTATTATTTATAAACCTAAAAAAGCCCCAAACAACTGAAGATTTGTAAGAGTTAATGTGATGCCCAAGAATACCTTTAAATCCCAGTCAGCATGTATTCAGTCTCTAAATAAACATGGATAATACTGATTTGCATTCTCTTCAAAGCAAGCGGAGTGGAGTTTGGAAGTCATGTAATGCAAGTGTCCTCTGGAGACCAGCCATACACCAATTCTAAATACCACCACATTGAGTAGAGCCTATTTTAAATGCATCTTATTTTATGGAAACTTGAATTCACCTACCTGTGAAGAGTTTAGGATTACGTATTTCAGTACTTGCCAAAGCATGTGGTTTTAGAACATGATTATGTCAATCACCTGGGATTTCTACATGAACTGATTTTGTATACAGTTGGAATTAAAACACAGCTGCAGAAATTTCTGGAACAAAACTGTCTGGGTAATACATGAAAACCAAAGAAAATCAACTAAACAACAATATTGAAAATGCTTTATTGAACCGTGTGTCTTACTGTAATGTGCAGATGTGTTTGAAAAGACTACAGCTTGAAAAACTTTTGAAAATCCTCAACAACCAATAAAAAACGTCCCTACTGGGGCTAACTCTCAGGATAACCAGAGGCCTCATGTAAAGTTTCCCTTGAAACATTTTCTGTAGCAGAGCCTAAAAGAAAACAAAGCTAGTACTGCTCTATATGGAAACAATCACGATTTGAGGATTATTTTTTTTAAAAAAAAAAGAACTTGAACTTCAGTTTATGGGGTTGCTTCTTTTGCTGCTGTTATTTTGGATTAGCATACACGTCACAGTTCTGCTGAGAACACCATCTGGTGTTCAAGTCTGTAAATTTACTCTAAAATGCTAGCAATACTGCAGAGATCGAAGGATACAGAGAAAGAGAGAGAGGGGGTGAGGTGAGAAAGATCTGGAAACACACTATCATATAAGCCTAGTTTAAATTTTCATCTGAAGCTGTGTGCACTTGTTTTTATAACCTAACTTTACATTCAAAAAAAAACCTCCCACCCCCCAAAAAAGGGGGAAAGAAAATCAAAACCAAACACACCCCTTCTGTTCTTGTCTTGAGTCTTGTATAAATGTTTATGCACAAGAACACCATACCCTCTTTTTTCCCAAACCAGTAGGGTTAACAGTATAGGCATGTAGGTGGCACGATTCAACTAAGAGGAGTTTTCAACTTTTTTATACCAGCAAAAATAACCAAAAGAAACAATAAATAAAAGGTGCTAAAGTTAGCATTAAGAATTCAATTGTAATATACTGACATTCTGGGAATCCAACTCCTCAAGTTCTGCTGATACTGACAGGTCTCTGCAAACTATGAAGCAAATACATAAATAAATCAAAAGATAATTGAGACTGTGAAAAGCTTTTTAAACTAAACCAACATGATCCAGGGTAACTTTTTTCTTTAAACACAGTGAATATATGAATTGTCTACACCTGAATAAAACATTTTTAACAATTAAAAAATTTTAACAACCACAAAAAGGAAAACCTTTAAACAAAAGTGAACACCATTTGATTTTAGGGCACACAAAAGCCCCTTGCAGTGGCTTCCAGCAGTGGCCTTACTGTTGTGTCTCCTACAGTTGCGTAAAATGTTCAACTGCACATTGAGGTGATGGCTAACAGGGCAACATAATGGTCACATACAGCAAAATGCCTCACCCTGGTCATGACAATAGATCCCACTGCGGAGTTTCTATCTTGTGCAGGAACAGCACATAAAGATGTTATTCTGTCACGTATTATTCAAAAGCTACTTTGTGGCCACAAACTGCTAGTCAGCACTAACCCTTTTGTCATGTAACCTTTGAATAATGGGAAAGCTTTGGGTTTTATAGTTTTACTCCTGGTATTTAAATTTTTAAATGACAAGGTCACTAAAACTCATGCACGCTGCAAAAAACGTCATGCAGTAGTTAAGGTAAACCATCCAAGCAGTTTTTATTCATTAATATTCATAAATACACACAGCAGCTTCATTAGAGATTTTTCATTTTTTTTCCTCTTCAGTTTGAATGTGGAGTATTAGGAGAGCCTTTTGCATGTCAAGGTACAGGACACAGAGCTTTTTGCTCTGCACCGCAACCTACATTTACCTGCTAGAAGTAAAAATTAGTTAAGTGGAAATGATTATCATATATATCTTTTCTCTCTTTCTTTTGAATGTACACAATGTAACAAGAGTGACAGACCTGAAATTACAATCACCAAAACAAACCCAAGATAGTTGTTGTCCACTTTCATTGGCAAATACAGCACAGAGGACATTGTCTGCAAAGTGGGATGTCATCAAAGAGGAGGTGGAGGAGGCTCGTTTCCTTTATTACTCTCTTTTAAATTTAGGTTTTCTAAAGCAACATCTAGAGGCATAATATCTACACAGCCCATAGCACCAAAATCAGCAATCTCTCCCTGTTCATCCTCATCTGAGGAGGAACTTTCTTCCCGCATTAAAGTGGATAGTAGAAGCTCTTGAACAAACAAGCTGCGGTCTGCCCGTTCACTTTCCTTTGACTGACGCTCTGCTTCTGACATCTTCGGATCATTCAACCTGTACAGTAGCGAGGAAAGAAGACAGGCAGTTGGTGAAAGCCCATTTCACTGATGACACTACTGATAGACGCTGAAAAGCACTCAAAACCCGCTTCTTCAGGATAGTCCTGCTTGCCCTTCAACATGTACAGCTCTGGCAACCTCCAACACTTCAGTACAACAGGCATGCAACAAACAACCCTTCCCTGAAAAGCATTCAAAATGGAGCCTAAAGCTAGAGGAAAACAAAAAACTACTTGCGAGGTTTCCCGCTATTTAAGAGTCTTTCAAAGAGGGCTGTTGTGATTTCCTAGACGCTCATTACACGCCTGTTTTGTTTCTAGGTCAACTTCAAAGTTCACATATGCCACAGAATACGCTATTGCATGTGTAGAGCCTAGGGATTCCCAAAGCATGATACAATGCCTATTCCACCACCTCTCCTTGGTTATAGTGCATGCCCTGATAGGCAAGGAAATTGCTTGCTCCAACTCTGAAAGTGCCATCTGTGACACTTGCAGAAACTTTTGATTAATAATACCTAAGTTTCTGATTGAAAGGTGTCACATGGTATTATTTTGCAGTTAGATAAAAATCAGGTTGACTCAAATCCAGCTTTCTTGATGCAGGAGCTGTTAAAATGCCCACATTCTTTCACAATACCAAACAGACAAACAAGAGTATGTATGGAGGGGCGTAGCAGGGGAGATGTAGAGAAGATTTATTTTGGGTCAATAGCCAACCTTTTAAAAGAACTGGAATGACATAGTGGGTGACTCCTTTTTAAAATAACCCTGGGATCTAGTATAATTTCTCAACCAGATAAGTATTCTGTTTGTTAATGGCATCCTTTATTTGCTATGTTATCTAGTCTCTAAAATAATTAATATATAAACCCCTATTCAACCTTCAGCTTTTACTAAAGATTACTTTCCTATTAAACAATACTACCTTCCGACTCTCTCCCTCTCCTTCACGGCTCAAGTCTATATGCCTGTATTACTGGAAATGCACCTGTTTTGTTCAAAGCAGCAGGGGAAACAGGCACAATTTAGTTAAGAAATATTCCTTTTGTTCCTCTTGAAGTTGAGATGCAGCAACTAACATTTACCCATTGCTTAGGAGCAGACAGACCATAGGTTTGGAAAGATATTACAAATGCAAGCAAAAGCACAGTATGTTGGCTACAGACTCGATGAAGGATCTGGCAGAAGTCCCCTGCCTGGAGTCATGAGTAACTTACTCAGCCAAAACTCAAAACCAGCCTCCTTTTCAAGGGTCATAGAAATCCATACTCAAGTCAAATCCTCTGAACACATTCCTAGGTGTGCCAAAAAAAGTACAGTGTACTTGTGAGATTGCCTCTCCTTTACTGCAGACACTAGACCACTACAGGATATTTCTGCAGGCAGCTCCTGGAGTTAGCTTTCTAAAAGCACAATAATTCCCTTTGGGCCAGCTATAAAGTGCTACTTTTGGATGTAATTGTATCTTTCGGATATACTTACTGGGTTTACTTTCATGCTAGAAATGTGGATGAAGCAAGTTTTAGGTATTACACAGTCTGTGACCACTGTTGACATCTACTGTGAATGTATTTTATATGATTAATTAGCCTGTTAACTCTGCAATATATTTGATCAGACACTGTTTTACTAGGGCACGTGCCTAACTCCAAACACTTAAGTTTCATTGAACGCTAAGGACTAAGGCAAACAGACATGGTAAAAAGTAAATACAAGTAAGTACACAGAAAAAATTACCTTGTAAGAAGAAACTGGGAATTCTGGATAGTCTGCTGACTGTTTTCTGTGTTAGATGTGTTGGTTGTTGTTGTAGATTGTGTCATAGTGGTGTTGACATTGATCGTGTTGGTGCGTCTAGTTGCATTGCGTGCAGTCTCCAGTTGTTGTCGTGCTGCCTGTGCATGTTGTCGTTCCAACTGCAGTTGCATCTGCAGCTGCTGTAACTGAGAAGCAGAAGGGCCAGAGGAGTTGAGCTGTCCTCCTGCAGAACGCCTCACACCTGATAGCTGAGATAAAAGCTCTGCCAGAGAAAAGAAAGTTTCTATGATGAAAGATTTTAAATAAGTATTACACAAGAGAATGAATACACCCTGAATTCCAGTGCATCAATTCCTTTTTTTTTTTCAATAAAAATCAAAGAACAAACAATACTCAAGAGCCTACAAAGCTCTTGAAAAAAGTCCTAGCATTCAATGTCTCAAAGAGTAAGGAAGATTAAGACTCATTTATGCAGATTTATTCCAAATAAGAAGTCAAGCTTTAATGCCTTCAAAGTAACAGGAGAGCCTGGCAAATTATGTCCTCCACAGCAATTCTCTGAAATTTCAAGTCAAAACAGCAAGCAACTAAGAAAATACTTAATTTTGGCTTTGTTTGGCGATTTTATTTTCTTTCCAACAAAAGTTCCCTCAAAACACAGGCTTCCCCTTCCCAATATCCTAAAGGGAAGCTGTACTGCAGCAAAAAGAGAAATATCATAATATTACTTCAAATATTTAATAAAAAATATTTAGTGAAGAATTGCCTCACATCGTAACTGGAGTGGTCAAGCATTTTTGCTGTATGAATTTTCACTTCTGCCAGAAGTACAGTGGAGGCCTAGCAATCAAGGAAACCCCTGTCCTTACGTCTTCCAATTCAGAGGGATAGAATGCTTATAGCAAGTTTCACACACAAAGATTTTTTTGATGTAACTACTAGCAGCAAATTACTGCTCAGTGCATTACTGCAGAATCTCTTCTGCAACCCGTATAGTACTTCTTACATCACCTGCTTGCTGTAGTTGATGCAAGGGCAGAGGAAGTAGGTGATGATATTGTTCCTGCCCCTCACCTCTAGATTACGAATTAACTATATAGGTCGTGACAATTTTCCTTCCATTGCATTAACAAAATATAATTCTTTTAAATAAGGCTTTCTCTGAAGGAACAAAGCAAAATGCAGTTGTTTTCCATGTCAGGAAGTTAGAACAGTCAACTAATTTTACCAGCATTGATAGCAATACCAAGATTAAATAACTTTTAATTCCATGTAACTACTAGAAAATGCCACACAGAGAAATAAAAAAGGGGAAAAAATATAAAATATGCTATAAACTTCATTTATTTTAAACAGAAAAATTCTTACAGTCTTTCCTATACTTTCATACTACTCCAGGAAAAGGGAAGACATAACAAACTTCCAGAAAAGATTCAGATGTATTTATTCTCACTGTAGGTTAAAGCGGAAGTTAAAGCTTAAAGCATAGTGAAACAATAATGTGGAAACAGATGGGAGCTCAAGACAGAGTCTTGTTATGACACCCAGCTCAGTGTGCAACTGAACTCTAAATGCGAAAACACATCTTCCACCAAAAAAGACAAGATTCAGAAGAATGCCATTTTATCCCACATTTAATGCTGCTAAGTGGGAAGGCCTTGTAAGGCTGAAAACAAACCTCAGTAGCCATTCCACATTTAACTAAGCTGAACTAGTTGCCCTTGTAAGAGAAAGACAAGGTCTTGCACTGGAGGCTTCACAAACATCCTCCCTCCTTGAACAAACTCTGGTCTTTTTCAGACCCTCCTGTCACCTCACTTAACTTATTTTCTTCTCTGATGGGATACCTCTTCCCAACTAATTTAATGAGTTAAATCACGTCACAGCAGGTCAGCAGAGCACCAGAGACAGCAGAAGGCAGGCAAGGGGACCATGATTAAGGAAGGCAGTAGAGCTACAGCTTCCCTTTCAGGGGCAATGACTCATTAAGCTGCCTGGCTGGCTACCTCTCTCTGGAGAAGTTACAACATGATAGCAGGAAGCTCCAGTTCAAGCATTATGCCTTCTTAGCATCTGAAGCAAAGGTGGAGTAAGGCAGAAGTTGAGGTTTCCCTGACATTTATGCTGGCATGGTCAAAGACCACTGAATAAAAACATTTATCTTTCCCCTTAGGGAAAGTTACATTTGCTTTCGGAATTGTCTTCACTCTATTTTTTCTTCCCTCTGAAAAAGTTTTTTGTCACATCAAAGCTAAACATACACCAAACAAGTTATTCCTGGGAATCCTTAAGGCACATCTTCATTATTTTCTGGTGTTGAAAATGAGAAACCCTTCCCCCAACTCAGAGTTTTTCTAAACTTGACCGAAATACACTGCAAATACTTGCAACAGTTCATCTATATAAGAATTTACAAGTACACTTGAAAAAAATAAATCTGTGATATTTTAGCAAGTCTAGCATTCGAACAGCAGCCTGAATACAAACTGAACACATTTTAAATGTCCATTAATACTCAAATTCAGCGAATTTCATCTTTATTGAGACAGATACTCTCCTCCATAAACACCTTTATCCACATGGAAAATTAAAATGAGACATACTAAAGTATGTGATGGAAACTGGACACAATCACTCAAAAATGTACAACGCCTGTGCACAGATTAGCTTTGGGAATAAGCTTTACAACTACCTAGACATAAAAGCACAAGCTACAGGTAGTGGTTTCAGCTTCAGCATTTCCATGCCCTGTGACAACCCAGCCAAGCACACTACTTACCTGCAAGCAGCCATCAATCACACTTGCACTGTGGAGCGTATCTATACATGCAGCTTTGTAACAACGGAAAGCATGGCAACTATTACCACCTTGAATTTTACTTCTTCTGTGTAAGGAGGACACTGGGGTAAAGTTCGTGGTTATTGCTCTTACCAGCTATAGGATCCATGGCTTCTCTATTGCTTGGAGAATACGAACTCTGAGAAGATGAAAGCCCACCAGGGGAACTGGTAGTAAAGTGCATGTTTGATCTACGTGCACGGGGGCCTCCCAAACCCCGGCCTGGGTGGAACATCCTACGTACGTGCCGAACACCACTGGATTCATCATAACCAAGAAGTTAAGAAAAAGAGAACTGTTTGGCATTTGAGTATTAAGTGACAAGGACATTTGATGGGTGAAATACTCAGGTGCACACCATTCTTCATTCATAAAATAATGATTCAACTTCTGAAGCAAAGCTAAGGTACACTGTAGCTATGCTGCACATCAGACTGACTGTTCCGAACTCGAGATACCCAGTTCTGTGTATCTCTTCAGCTTTTTATGATATCTAAGAAACATCAGCTTTAATTTCTTAGCGTTTTTTAGATCAAAGTTTTCTACTCAGTAATCTGAAAATTCTGACAAATGCACATTCAGCCAAGCTTATTACAGAGACATAGGGATTTTGTTCTCCTTCCCCAATTCTTACGCTAAGTATTGAAAATAATAAAGTTTATTGCCATTCCTATCAAAAGTACATAATAATTAAGGTAATCCTTTTGACTTTTGTACTTCATGCTTTTATCCAAAAAACTTCATCATTTCAGTCCTCAAGAAATCGTAGGTTTCCACAGCATTCAGCAGGTTTCCCTGCTGTCACACCCTTTTGTTTCCCTTTTCCTCTTTTAGCCAGAGAAATACCACTAATTCAACTTATGACAATGATGCCTTTCATTTTCCCATTTTCCCCCACTTCTCCATATCAGATGCTTATATTTCCAGTCACAACTTTTACATATTTTCACTTATAAAACTAAGAGACAATTAACAAATTATGTAAACTTTATTTTTGTCAGAAAGTTGCTAACATTCATTCCTCCAAGAGAATACAGGTAATTCTTCCTTTTATTCAAAAATCACTAGTATAATTCACTAGTGCAAAATGAAATAGCATAGGCTTGAATATTTTATTTCACTGTTACTAGACTCGTAGCTTAAATCCTCCTATCTCCCATGACCTTTATTTTTATAATAGTATGATTCCCACTCATATGGTATCCATTACTTTATAAGCGTAGTGTCCAATGTACTTTTGATAAAACACAGTTACAGTGCAGAACCTCAGGATGTCACGGAGGTCAAGAACTAAAGACTGAAACAAAAGACTAAGCTCCTCATGGCAAGAAAGAACTTCTGGCTATTACAAAAAGATTTTACAAAACATTTAAACTGAATAGCCATGCAAGAACTATTTGTACAATTGATGCTGAAAAGCTGTATTTAATGCTAAAGTAAGAAGCTGGGCTTTAAAAAGTTGCCCCCAGACTGCAGGAATAAGGGACATACCTGGCTGAAAAGGGGCATCTCCTCTCTCTTTTTTCCTACTTTAGACCTGCCTGTTGCTAGACATGATGTAGAGCCCAACGTGGAATAGTGACTTCAGGATACACTTCTTACAAGGTTTTGGAGACTTGACAACATTGATCACTTAAGAAATAAAGCAGAAAATTCTACATGCATTGTTTTTAATGCTGAACCATAGATAGGTAGTGTATTCCCAAAATATATCTGAGAAAGATCCATGTTGGGATGACTTTGAAGCCTTACTCTGTACTTGAAAAGATTGATTTTTCTAGCTCAAACATTCCCAAGTTAAAAGTCATCTGGTGGCATCTCTGATACACTTCTGTAACTGGGAAAATTTAAGCTTCCTGGCCTACAGAGCAGTTAAGCTAATGTTGGAGGCCCACAGTTTGACCTTTGGTATATTCATAAGTAGTTATTATGGATGTAAATTTTGTTAGAAAAAGCATATTAAGCAGGTGCTATTAAAAACTCACTGTTGGTAGAAAAAGTAGAACTGAACTACAACAGAATACAAGAAAAATTGCTCAGTGACTCACTACACCAGTCATCAAGCAACATTTCAGAGACGTCCGAAGACCAGCAAAGATCCAATGGTCTGGAAGATGCTCTCCCCTCATCAATCTCATCCCACCTCCAGCCAAAAGGGAGGATGGCACAACTCTGCCTTGGGGGACATCTGACCATGGAGGACTTCCAGGGATGCCTGTGACCAAGCTCACATGGCCAGAGCCACTGCATTCAGTACCCTCCTCCTCCCAACTGCTGAGAGCCCTACTTGTGTCTGCAGGGAGAGATGAAGTAGAGATAACTGCTTTTATCTAACTTTGTACTGTTCTTTGTATTATTAGTTACTCAGAGAGTAACTAATAATAGAGTTACTTCACAGAGCCAATGAACACCCAAATTCCTTTACACCAATCCAACTATTGTGTAGTAATGAACATGTGCATTTAGTCTGTTCTGAGCCTTAACTTAAATGCAATCAAACACAACAGAAATGGAACCATCTCCTTAAATGCTGTCTCCCTTCTGCTAGTGTAACTAACTCCAACTGCTAGGGCTAGGATGTGGGGGTTTTTTTCACTCCAGTTGCTCGAGCTTAGACTATTTTTTCCTTTTAAAATATCTTTAAACAGAAAAGCCACTACCAAAGTGGTAATGTAGTCTTGTCAGTTTGTTTAAACAAGACACAAAGCAATACTTCAAAGAAATTACTTACTGTAGGTAGTCTATATAGCCTGCATCTCATTAAATAAGAAGCCCAAACCAAAATACATTTTGTCAGTTAATTGGGGGAGTTAAAAAAGAAGAAAAATATTGCTAGAACAAGGACAAAAAATCCCAATAGTTGCAGCTCTTCAGCTATCAAGCATAGATCAGTCTGCATAACTTGCTGCTAAGGTAAATGAAAGACAACATACTATTTCCCAGGAAATTTGAAAGTTTTCTGAGTTAGATTACAAAATGCCAGTAACACTATGAAATTATGTGATTAAAACACGGTGTTAAAATGAGTTAAGCAAGTTTAAAATCATTCATCAAGACCAGCTAAGCTCAAATCATCCTCAGATCATCACCTTCATGTCACAAATACCTACAGCACACCACTGAATCTGGATACATAAAGCAGCATCAAGATGAATGATCAGGCAGATGTACCACAGTGCAAGTAGAAAAACCTCTCAGTATTGAAGTTCTTTAAATGTTTTTGCTGTAGGAGCAAAAAGCATTGTAAAGTGTACCTACTGTCTGTTCACAATCTGGTATTTATACTTTTTTAAACTAGCAAATGAACCTTTTTATTTTTGACACACAGATCTTTAGCAACTTAAATTCCAGGAAAATCAGAGGTATGACCCTTTGACTACAAAAATCAAAACAAGTTGTCATGGCTACTAGATGAAACAGGCTAGCCTCTTTGCCTCAACTTGGAAAGGATATTAAATCTCTAGGAGCTCTGTGTTCCAGTGTAAGATGAGCTGCAAAGTCATCTGTGACATGATTCGGATCCCCTCCAGGTAATGCTGCACATATTGGACAAATCTGAAATGACAAAGCAAGAAAAACCCAACTTTATGAATTTTACATAGAATACTGTTGAGTCAATAATTACACATTGATTCTTATGCTTTAAAATCATATTCTAGGTATTCACAAACACCTGGATAGCAAAATATCAAAAAACCCAGAAAACATATTAAAGTGCAGACACTAATTTAGACATCTTTTACTGTATGATTTTTGGAATGCTATGAAAACCAGAGCTAGAGTTTTCAAATTCAACTTCCAATGTCTTGAGAATTAGTCTTTGTATGCCAATTCTGCAACATCCGGTGGAGCCTGTTTACCCAGGACTACTGTTTGCCTGCTTGACACTCATCGCAGCAGAGGAATCAAAAATGAAACCACACGTAAGCATGCACTGAAGGATCAAACTGAGACCACCCATCCAGGCAGGGCATAACCAAAAGTTTGGCAGAGAAGGCCTGATTTCCATATCCCTACATTTGCATATGTGGGTGAAGGCATGGACACATGTCTTTGGTTTGTTTGTTTGGCTTTTTTAAACCAAAACACACTTTAAGTACACAAACAGTGCCATTACAATTGCCATAATTATGACTTGTTTTCTGAATAACTCCACAAACAGCTTGAAAAGCATCTTCCATTTTTCTTTACAGTAGTTTTGCAGATTGATTTTAAAGTTTTAGAGATGGCAGACAAAAAAAAATATCCATTCCACAAAATTCTTCCCACAAATGTTAAGCGGTCAAATTAACAGCATTTTGACAGTTAAATGCAACTGCTGTCTATGAATTTATCTCCCTGTTCCTCACAGTCAAATGGTCTTGGTCTGTATGGAGCAGCTCTGGCTGTAATAAAAAGCCCAGGTTGCCAGTGCTCGCCATGCATATACTCAAGTTGTTTACAGTAGATCCCAAAAGACCACGGGCATTAAGAACACCTATATAATAGCACACACATCTGTCTTACTCTTACAGAGGTGAGAATAAGGTCTTGAAATAAGTTTACTGTAAAATCTCAGTTGTTTTTGACAGCAGCTGCTACATCTTTAATGCCACTTTAATTTCAGTAGTTGGCTCTGAGCAGAAAACCAAGCATTTTAAAAGCTTTTTGCTATAACCGCTTCCCATCTATCTTCTATGATCAGCACACAGAACTCCTCTTACCAGATTTTTCACCACTACAGAAGCCATACAAGCAGACACACTACAAACATCTTATTACAGCTAATAACCAACTATACCAACATATCATACAGCTACCCTGTAGGGACATCAGACAGATGGTTCTGAAGTCCATAAATTTATTTATAAGCTGCTTAATCTTCAATAAAGTGTTTCATACCAACAGGAGACAATACCTTGAAAGCAATCCTTTTTCATTTAAGCCACTCTGAGGAAACAGAGCCCCAACATGAGAACCACACATTTCTGAAAGCAGCAAAGCAAAATAAACTTCTTTTGCTAAGAAGACAAAGGGGTTATGAACAACGGATATTTGCATGAAAAGAGATACAGTCCTCAGAAAAACATCAGCTAAGAAAAAGTTATAAGGCATAATGAGAAGGAAGCCATCTAAGCATCCTAACCCTAATTCTAAACATGAACTAAACTTCCAACCAAGAAGTCTCTGACTGGGAAAAGTTACTGAAGCATTGTTAAACACAAACAAACACTTAGTTAAGCATAAGCTCTGGCAAAATCACAACAAAGATTGCAGCATCACTGATTAAGCGTCACACAACTAAAAATAATTGTTAACAGAACATGCATGAACAAATGGTACAGATGAAAAGAAAACATTATCAGAAGTTTCTTCTGAAGTTACGATCATTTATATTAAAAAATCATCACGTTACCCTGAATGATATCTGAAAGATTACTGCCAAGTCCTAAGTCAACCATGCTCACAGAATACCTGCTAGTTTCCAGAAGTCTGCTTATATTACCACTGCCTCCCTATTTACATACAAGGTAACCACTTTAAGCAACAGCATCTCTGTAACCTCCACAAGCCACACTGTAGTCTTCAAGAATGAGACAGGAACCATTCTCAGATTGTCTTATTTCATTACTGCAAGAAAAGCTCTCCTCAACCTTATCAGCAACTTAGTTCCTGCAGTTCATGTACAAGGAGCCTAGCTACTGCCTTTGTAAACATAAGAAAGTTGCTGCAGTGCAATGTAATGTTCTGAAATGAGATTCAAAGATGACATCTCATGAATTTTCCTAAAACATTTCTGTTTACACTGCTAGCAGACTTTTAGTTGAATGCTGTATTTTATTTGGAACAGCGACTGACCTGAAACGCAACACCAACAATAACAATCATCATACTGACAGCCAGGTTCTTCTGCACTTGCCTTATAACACTTACCAATACCCTTGGACTGGTACCGATAGTTTTCTGAGGTTTAATACTCACCAAAATAAGATGATTTATTATTTTCAGTGTGTAACCTCAGAGACTTAATCGATCACAAAAGTTATGACTACTCCCACAGACACCAGTGTAATTTTCAATTAAAGTATCCAGAATTAAAACAATAACCTTTGAAGAAGTATCAAACTCTCCTCCTGGAGCTCCTCTCCAGGACCTCATCTTGCTGGGGTGCCTCTCCAAAGTGCCTGTACACTAATGCCCACAGCATGTGGAATGACCGCAATGAGTTACGAGCTCTGAGCGCAGTTGCAGGACCACAGTCTCCTTGGGCTCACCAAGACATGGTGGCATGGCTCCTGTTACTCGAGTGTTGCAACGGAGGGACATAGGCTCTTTAGAAAGGAGAGGAAGGGGGCCTTGCCCTTTATGTGAGAGAGAAGCTGGAGTACATGAAACTCCGCCTGGGGATGGCAGAACAACCAATGGAGAGCTTATGCATTGGGATTAAAGAGAGGGCAGGCAAAGGTGATATTGTAGGGGGCGTCTACTACAGGCCACCTGATCACGAAGAACAAACAGATCAGGCCCTCTACAGACAAATAGAAGCTGCCTCACAGTTGCAGGCCCTTGTCCTCATGGGGGACTTCAACCACCCCATTATCTCCTGGAGGAACAATACAGCATGACAGCAATCCAAGAGGTTCCTGGATTGCACTGATGATAACTTCCTCCTCCAAGTGACAGAGGAGCCCACAAAGAGAGGTGCTTTGCTGGACTTCATACTCAACAACAAGGAGGAGCTCATTCGGGATGTGAAGGTCAAAGGCAGCCTTAGCTGCAGTGACCTTGAGATGGTGGAGTTCAGGATCCTCAGGACAGGGAGGAAGATGAAAAACAAGATCACAACCCTGGACTTCAGAAGAGCAGACTGTGGCCTCTGCTTGAAGGGTCACGTGGGATATGGCCCTGGGTAGAGGGGCTCCAAGAAAGCTTCTTAATATTCAAGGATCATCCCCTCCAAGCTCAAGAGTGCTCCATCCCAATGAATATGAAGTCAGGCAAAAATGCCAGGAAGCCTACATGGATGAACAAGATGCTCCTGGCCAAACTCAAACACAAAGAGGAAGCATACAGAGGTTACCCTTCTAGGGTAACCATGGAGGAATACAGAAACATTGTCCAAGCATCCCAGGACAAAGTAAGGAAAACTAACGCCCAAATGGAATTGAATGAGGTAAGAAACAAAGGCAACAGGAAGGGCTTCTAGAATTACACAGGCAACAAAAAGATGACTAGGGAAAATGTGAGCCCATTGCTTAAGAGCCAGGGGACCTGGTTACACGAGCCACAGAAGAGGCTGAAGTACCCAATGTGTCCTTTGCCTCAGTCTTCACTCGCAAGACTGACTTTCAGGAATTCCAGGCCCCAGAGACCAGGGGGAAAGTCTGGAGCACGGAAGACATTCCCCTCGTAGAAGAGGATTAGATTAGAGAATACTTACATGAACTGGACATACGTAAGTCCATAGGCTGCGATGGAATGCACCCGTAAGTGCTGCGGGAGCTGGCAGATAACATTGCAAGGCTGCTCTCAATAATCTTTGATGAATCACAGCAACTGGGAGAGGTGCCTGAGGCCTGGAGTAAAGCAAATGTCCATCCTATCTTAAAGAAGCGTAAGAAGGAGTACCCGGGGAACTACAGGCTGGGCCGCTCACCTCGACCCCTGAAAAGGTGAGACACCCTTTCCAACCACATTAAAGACAAGAAAATCATCAAGAGTAGTCAGCGTGGCTTCACGGAGTCATTAGCATTCATGCTGATGACACAAAACTGGGAGGGGCGGCTGACACGCCAGAAGGCTGTGCCGCCTTACAGCGTGACCTGGACAGGCTGGAGAGTTGGGCAGAGAGGAACCTAATGAAATTCAACAAGGGCAAGCGTAGGGTACTGCATCTGGGGAGGAATAACCCCATGCATCAGTACAGGTTGGGGGCTGACCTCCTGGAGAGCAGCCCTGTGGAAAGGGACCTGGGAGTCCTGGTGGACAACAGGATGACCATGAGTGAGCTCCCCCTCTACTCTGCCCTGGTGAGGCCGCATCTGGAGTACTGTGTCCAGTTCTGGGCTCCCCGGTTCAAGAAAGACAGGGATCTGCTGCAGAGGGTTCAGCAAAGGGCTACAAAGATGATTAGGGGATTAGAACATCTCTCACATGAGGAAAGGCTGAGGGACTTGGGTCTCTTTAGTCTAGAGAAAAGACGATTGAGGGGGGATCAACAGGGGAAGTGCACCACTCTGAACATAAAAATGGCAAAATTTAACGGAGCAAGAATTCTTTGACTTATTCCTTGAAAAACAGGGCGGGGGGCTGTAAAATACAAACAATTCCGTCTCTGTAAACCTTCCTTAAAGATCTAAAAATAAGTATCAAAAATAAAACACATTTTTGGACAGAGATACTACAAGGACTACAAGCTCACTATCTAAGCAGAAATAATTGCTTGAAAACCACAAATGTTTATAATCCATATTTTCCTCTTTAGTAACGTTGTAGCCTTTCACTATCTACAGTAAGACTGCAGTACCCAAGTAGTTTGATGTGCATGAACACTAACCAAGAAAGCTAGATATAAAACTACATAAAAAGATACGACAACATGGCAGACTGACTTGCAAAAGGAAAGAATAGTTTTGGTTTTTGGTTTTTTGGTTTTTTTTTTTTTACACATACAACACTTCTAGCAATCAGTGGAGTTGCAAGTGTCTAAAATCACAAATTTAGGCTTTATGTAATGAATTCTAGAAGTCACAGCTGCAAACAAGGATGTATGAAATTGAAAAACCTAGAATCTTAACATTCTGTGTCAGGAACATATCGCTGACATCAAGTGGTGCAAGTAAGAATTGCAATACTAAGCCACCAAAGAAAGTGTCCCAAATGTGGAACATTCAATGGTTGATGCTACGTTTGAAAGTTGCAGAGTTAAAGAAAAACTCAAGGAGACAATAAAAATTGCAGTGTGTCACAAAGTGAATAATTTCACAAAGTGAAATTATGAAAGTCTGTGTCACAAAGTCAGTGCAACTGACTGTGAATTAAACTGTTTTGCTTCTTATGTTTTTAAGAAAGATAAGAACACCTTTGAATCTCAAAGAGGCAGACAAACCACCTCTGCTATCACTCCTTCGCATAAGAGCCTCAATAGGCTTGTAGACGAAAGAGGTTCATTTTCTTCCACAGAATTCCTTGGAAGTTAAGAAAACTAGAATATTAGAATACTAGCCTATTTATAAGTAATTTCTTCATAATGTATTAGTGATGAGCAATCCACAGCATTAACCAGACAAGAGCACCCCGGATGTCATTCTGCTAGCCTACTCTCTCCTAGTCCCAAAGACAATCAGGATAGCAGGAGCTAACACCTCAGATTAAAGTATTTCTGTTGACACTTGTTTAAGTGTGTTTTTAACCATGTCAAAGGTCCTAATCATTAGCCATGGGAGAAAAAACCCTACCTGAATAGCAGTATTTTCAAAAGAATGACAGCTTCCACTGCATAAATACACCAAGTAAATTACAAAAGCTATTTGAAGAACACACCAAACTGTCTGCATGTCTTTCTCTTACAGTTACAAAAGACTGGCACAGCTATGAGCTTCCAGGCCAATTACATACTGGTTGTAAAAAGGGAGACACAGCTACACAGAATAACTATGAGAAGATTCTAAATTTTGTCTTACAGGATAATAAAATCCTAAACGTGCTAGCCTTTAGATCAGGAAAACCAAACAGCAACCATGAAAGAAGAAAGCAAGCTCATTATATTATGATACCCACAAAACAGAGAATTTTGATGTCACCGTCAAACAAATATACGTCTTCTTACAAAGCATTCAAATAAACTCATGTTTCAAGAAAGAAAAAGAACAGGAGGATACCAATTTTCCAGAAGAGAGACTCATTTTAACGTATCTCCACCACAACTGAATGCCAAATCTGAAGCTTCTTACCACTTCTGTTGATGTTTCTGCATGCTCAGAAGTAACATGTTCTTGAAGAGATGTTTCCGTATAACCCATTTTCCCACAATAAGGACAAGTAAAAGACTGTGGCTGCTCTACAGAGAAAGCTTCTCCACCATAGTACAAATCTGGAACAGAAAGTGTTTAAATAGAGGTTAATTCAAAGCAGTAGAATTATTTATTTTTTTTATGTAAACCTCTGTTTATAAATGCATTTCAATGTAATCACTGCCAAATTAATCTGGTATTCAACTGAAATGGCTATTTTAACGTTGTACAAAGGCCATAGGCTTGATATTCAAGTGTTCAATTACTGATGACAAAAACCAGACAGACTACCTTTCATTTTCATTAGCAAACATAATTTTCTAATATTCAGCAGGTTTTTTGAATCCTATGATGATGATGCTGATACTGCCAAAACTTCACTCTTCTCCCACCCTACTTATCCCATGTACTGGGTCATGTACAGTATTTTTCAAGCACAACATGAGTTTTCAAAAGCTGAATTCTCAACGGTACCTGAAAATTTAAGTTAAAATTTGTAAGTCCTCAGTGATACACCATGTGTCAATATTTCTGCCATAGCTGAAGTACTGCTTCAGAGTAAGTAGTTCTGGAAATGTCCCAAATATGTAATATGGAATATTGATAGTGAAAAAGGAGTCGGATTATCTGTTATACACTGGTTGCAAATTTGAGGTGTGTTGAATTTAAGCACTTTTGCGCTATCAGTGAAAAGCAGGCACTTTGAAGTGGCTAACGTAGTTTCTCAAACTTAACATGAAAATTTATCTAACCATGCTAGAAAAGAATGCTTGCTTCTCATACTCTGAAGGTACTACATATTCTACAGGAAATATGAATTAACTTCACATTCACATCAAGATAAAAATGTGATTTTCTCCAGCAAGTAATTTAAAATCTTTTCACTGACATTTTTTCTAGGACTCATTAATAAGTAACTGAAAAATATTTTCATAGAATTATGAATACGCTGCTATAAATTAAAAATTGGACAAGTCTGAACAGCTACTAGAACTCATGTTCTACACCACAAGGCAAAAATCTACCTAATCTGTGAGGAACATGCCCCTCTGATGGCTTAAGTCACAGCTTCCTAAGATTTATGACATCTTTTACTACTACCACTCTTTTGTACGTGACTAGAAAGAATAGAACATTTTTGTTTCTGCAGCCTTACAAAAGATGATGTGTAAGCTAAAAAATGTAGATATCTATAATTCACTATATTAACAGATAGTATTTTACATATAATTAAGTTTTGAGGGCTAACACGTCAAGACCAATACAGGAAATGAACTTATTAGTAACATGCTAATATGCAGAGTTAAAGATACAGAATCAGACTGAATACACTGCAGAATAAAGTTTATGTTCAGGAAGTCCCTGTTCCCCTTATTTGGGCACTGCTTCCAGAGAATTTAAATGCTGCAGGATGAGAGAAAGATATTCCTTTAACAGGCATGGTAAGAAAAGCCCAACTAGACAGCCAGCCTTGCCAAAGAAGAAACACTGACTGACACACTGAGCATTTTAACTGGTTCATCAAATTAACTATCACACTAAGCCTCAGCGCCATCCCGAATTTAGGTTCATTTATTCACATACAGATGAGGAAAACATTATGTCCAACTATCCAAAATAAAAATTTCCCAGCCAATTAAGTCTTAGTTCTCCAAAGCAGCATTTGAGGCTCCATTAAATGCTTTATACAATAAGGCACAGAAGTAACTTTTCATTAGACAATAGAATTGCATATCAGATATGACTGAAATGGAGAACTATACAGACTGAAAGTCAGCATGAATGTAAGTTGGAAGACATGCCCAAAAGATTAGCACCCCTACCCCAAAACCTGAAAGTCATTTATATAGTATTGACACAAACAGACGCCTGGAATCATTATTAGAGGGAATCCCAAAGGTCCTTCCACAGTATGTTATGAGGACTCAGTTCTGAATGCATCTGAGTCACTCAACACATGAAAGACAGGCATTTCCTTGACAGGTTGTCATGCATTCAGCTGGCATCCTAACAAGAAGACAGATGGTATGTCTTAATTCAAAACATCTGTCCTTACTTGATCCCCTATAAATCCATGGGAAGAATCAGTGAAGCTACGAAGAGGAAGGTCTACTTTCCCACATTTGTGGAAGAGGTCACTGGCCAACACTTAAATATACCATATTCAATTAAGATGACAATACTACCAGATTGGAAGAAAGCTTCTTATAAACTCTTTAAGTCTGCCTGTTTGATTTATAAGTATCCATCAGCGTTAGAGTGTGTTCTGAATGCTCAAAAACAGGAACAGCAGCAAATTCCCCCATGTCAAAGCTTTTAAAACTATCTTTACTTCTTATACATTACTCACATTAAGCTTGTATTTATCATATATGAGTAGACTGGTACTACAATTACTCTGGCAGGTGACCAGAGAAACAAAAAAAACCTAGATCTGAGGCAGGATTACACCATTAGCATTCAGAACTATGCCAGTCCCTATGCACAGGTGTTAAGCAACATCATCCTACAAGATGAACCAATTACATTTACTTACATGCACAACTATCTTTTGACTTGAATATTGTCATGGTTTCAGCAGGGATGGAGTTAACTTTCTTACTAACAGTTAGCATAGTGCTATGTTTCAGATTTGGGATGAGAAATAGTGTTGATAGCAGACTGGTTGTTTTCAGTTGTTGCTAGGCAGTCAAAGGCCTTTTCTGCTCCTCATACCAACCCACCAGCAAGTGGGGACTGGGGTGTGGGGCGGGGAGAGAAGTTGGGAGGGGATACAGCCAGGACAGCTGACCCCAACTGACTAAAGGAATATTGCCTGACATGTGACATCATGCTCAGTATATAAAGCTAGGGGAAGAAGGAAGGGGGTGTATGCTTGGAGTTACACTATTTGTCTTCCTAAGCAACTGTTACACAATGGAGCCCTGCTTTCCTGGAGATGGTTGAACACCTGCCTGTCAATGGGAAATAGCAAATGAATTCCTTGTTTTGCTTTGCTTGTGTGCACAGCTTTTGTTCTATCTATTAAACTGTCTTTATCTCAAACCACGAGTTTTTTCCTCACTTTTACTCTTCTGATTGTCTTCTCCACCTGAACCTGGGAGAGTGAGCAAGCATCTGTGTAGTTCTAGCTGTGGACCAGGGTTAAACCAGGACAAACAGCTTCTCTAGAATTACAGCACACATTTTCCAGGTGGTGACCAGTCTCATTTCCAAGTCTTCCATTCTCCTCTTAATTACATGATATGCAATAGAGATTTACATGAAAATTGACCTGCTTCCAGTCTGGGGTGTAACAGAGACTGTTTCAGAGACAACACGCAGAAGACCTACATAATTCACTAAACTTCAAGATTTTGGAGCTCCTAATCAGTGCCACTTCAGTACATATTTCACAATGTACTCCTCTGAAAGTTTCTCTAAGAATCTCATTCAGACTCCCATTCTAATGTGGCCAAAAACCTGGGTGTGGATAAAAAGATTACCAATATGCTGCAGCATACTCAAATATGAAGACTATACATACATCCCAGTTTGAAATGAGAAAAGCACGGACAAGGTTTACATGGGACAAAGTTCTAAGTAGTCACTAAACCAGACTCCAAATGGATCAGCCATAAAGACTCTGGAACAGACATTCTTTCAGAAAAACGTATCTCTAAGGCAAAAGATTCAAAATAATGGTTGTCTAGAACAGATAAATGCAAAATGCTCCAATGAAGATGGATGGAGGAATCTGCCTTGCAATTATACAAAGAAAAATTCTAGTTAAAGCAGCTCATTATACAAGTGGTTACAGGGTATAGCAAAAGGGAAAGTTTTAAAAGCATTCTTACTTCCACAGTGTCACTGCACAGAGGAAATATAAACTTCAGTTCTCACTTTTTCAGTGTCCTAACGATACAACAGGGTTGGAACTTGAATAAAGATGCTGGGAACAAAATAAGTAAGATGGCCAAACTTTTGAACTGAATAGTTAAGAAGAACTCCAAATTTAACTGCATTTAATCTGCACATGCAAACACTGTATTGTTCTCTGAAACTCAGTAATTCACTGAGAACTTCTGCAAAAAAATTCTGCATGCCTGTGGGAATAGCAAAAATGCTTGTCACAAACAAAACAGAAGCTAATGACAGTTTGTTTAGTTGGTCCTCTGCTTTTCCTCAAGCTTTGGTACGATCCTCATGATAACTAAATACCTATTTACCAATTGGAAAACAGAAATTCTCCATCACTGCAAACATACACACAGGCAAGAACACCAAGCCAAATTTGCTTTGAGGACTCCTTCTAGCTGAGCAGACTCATTTCTGGAAATTTTCCAAGCCCTGGCATCTTACATACTTATCTGGCTAAAACAAGAAGATGATGACTCAAAGAGGCAAGCTAGTGAAAAAGCGGCAAATCACCTTATTTTAGAGTATTTGCATATAAAAGTAACTTCTGCATCTAGTATCTAAAAAGAAAAAAAAAAAACTTCAAAATTATCAAGTGGTCTAAAAACCTCTACCTATAAACCTCATTGCTTCATGAATCTAAGTATTTTCAAGTGAGCCAGAAGTACGAACTCCAACTTCCCAGCTGAGCAAAGGGCACAGGACCACAACCAACCTGAATAGAGTGGTAAATAGATTATCACACAGGTAAAAGTATCTTTTCTTTAGATATGTTGTTAGTTCAATCCAGACAATTCCAGCAGTACACAGTTCTATCACACAGGGGAGAAGTTTGATGAGTACTGTGTTTCTTGTCCTTGCTTTTAGAGACTATGAAACAAGCCATTTATTACTTAAAAAAAAAAAAAAATTGGAGTTCTTTCCAGCCTCCTAATTATATATATTCCTGCATGTTCTCCCACTCATACCTCCTTACCCATCTTTCTCATAATACACAGTAAATGGACATGCACATGCCAAATAAATATGCTTTCATCTAGCAAAAAAAATATAAAAATGAACCTGCCCCCTTTAATCTCTCTCCATATCTTACAATCAAAATATTTCCCTTTTCTAATCTGAAATACAGGTCCCCAGATAAATTTTCTTTTAACCTATAACATAAATTAAAAAACAAAACCAG